TAATAATAATAAATAAATAAATGCAAAATTAATAATAATAATAATAAATAAATAAATGCAAAATTAATAATAATAAAAATAAATAAATAAATAAATAAATAAATAAATTGTTCTTTGTGAATGCGCACTCACTAAAACCCCAACCTTGAGACCCTCCATCGTTTCTGACAAACGGCAGTCCAATCTCTTCTTGAAAGTTTCATTCCCTTAAACTCGGTTTATCCGATTCTCCTCAATCTCACCAGCCAGGTTTTCCATTGAACGGAGTCCCCGATTTACGGCCATTCGTTCAGTCTCCGGCACTAAACGGCACAGGGGGGGAAAGAGGGACTTGTGGTTGCTTCACATCTGACTGTTGAAGCGTCCCCGTGATCAAAATTTGGACCCTGGGCAATCGGCTCATAATGGTCACGGTCATGGCCCCATTGAGTTGGATGGGAACTCAGAGGTCATCTAGTCCAACCCATCTCCAGATCGCTGCCCTGAGGCCAGCGAGGCGCAACCGTCATGTAATCTAACTTCTGCCTTCCCCTTTTCTTTTGATTACCTGGTAGCAATTCCTTCAAACCTTTCCACCTGCGCAAGACAATCGTTGCCCCATTGAGCTGGATGGGAACTCAGAGGTCATCTAGTCCAACCCATCTCCAGATCCCTGCCCTGAGGCCAGCGAGGCACAACACTCATGTAACCTCCCTCTTTCCTTTCGTTCCCCTGGCAGCCATTCCTTCAGCCCCGCAGGCCGTCATCTCCAGCGTGAACGAGACCTCCCTGATGCTGGAGTGGACCCCTCCTCGAGATTCGGGGGGGCGCGAGGATCTGGTTTACAACATCATCTGCAAGAGCTGCGGCTCGGGGCGCAGAGCCTGCACCCGCTGCGGGGACAACGTCCAGTTCACGCCGCGCCAGCTGGGCCTCACCGAGCCGCGGGTTTACATCAACGACCTCTTAGCGCACACCCAGTACACCTTCGAGATCCAGGCGGTGAACGGGGTCACGGACCAGAGTCCCTTCTCGCCACAGTTTGCCTCCGTCAACATCACCACCAACCAAGCAGGTAAGAAGTTAACGCTCGCTTGGCTGCGGTTTTCTAAAGTTTTCTTTCCTTTTTTCTTTTCTTTTCTTTTCTTTTCTTTTCTTTTCTTTCTTTCTTTCTTATTTTTAACTTCCTTCCTTCTTTTTATCTTCCTTCCTTCCTTCTTTCTTCTTTCTTTCTCTTTCTTTCTTCCTTCCTTCTTTCTTTTTATCTTCCTTTCTTTTTTCCTTCCTTCCTTCTTTCTTTTCTTTCTTTCTTTTTCCTATCTATCTATTTATCTATCTATCTATCTATCTATCTTTCTTTCTTTCTTTCTTATTTTTAACTTTCTTCCTTCTTTTTATCTTCCTTCCTTCCTTCTTTCTTGCGTCTTTCTTTCTTTCTTTCTTTCTTTCTTTCTTTCTTTCTTTTTTTTAACTTCCTTCCTTCTTTTTATCTTCCTTCCTTCTTGCTTCTTTCTTTCTCTTTCTTTCTTTCTTTCTTTCTTCCTTCTTTCTTTTTAACTTCCTTCCTTTTTATCTTCCTTTCTTTTTTCCTTCCTTCCTTCTTTCTTTTCTTTCTTTCTTTTTCCTATCTATCTATTTATCTATCTATCTATCTATCTTTCTTTCTTTCTTTCTTATTTTTAACTTTCTTCCTTCTTTTTATCTTCCTTCCTTCCTTCTTTCTTGCGTCTTTCTTTCTTTCTTTCTTTCTTTCT